GCCTTTTTTTGGCTGAAACGATGCAGGGCCTGTGGGCCCCGGATGTCAGGCTTTTGGGCTGAACCGTCATGGGGTCTGCAGGCACGGAAATAACCCTCAGTTTTAGGTTGAAAAGGCTCAGGCCTTTTTTGGCTGAAACGATGCAGGGCCTGGAAAATGGCCCTCCTGTGGAGGCGCAGCATGTAACACGAAGACACGGGCACGTGGCCCTGCAATGTGTGTCGATCCTGCTCTCTTGGATGTGTGTATGGCCTTCATTATGCAAATCATTCGCTGTGTGTTTTTCGAACCATCTCATCACCGTGAATACGATTGTAGTATCCCATCGCTACAATGGGTGTGTATAGTTGATGCCTTAAGGCTTTCTTGTAACTGCGACACGTGGCGCTCCTTCACAATGACGGGTCGACACCCCTCCTGCCCCCCGAAGGCGCGACACATGGTCTCGCAGAATGCATCAATTTTCCTCGAGATGTGTGTACATTCCCCTCTATGTGGTCGTCAGTTGTGAGTTATGCGACCCATCTCACCACCGTGAATGTGATTTGCTTCATTCGCTATGTGTTCTGTGAACCATCTCACCGCCGTGTGTGTGATTTGTATGGAGGGTCCGGTTATTATCAGTATCCCGTCAATACGTTTAGTAGAAAACCGTAGGCACTCTTATAACTACGACGCGTGGCGCTCCTTCGCAATGATGGATCCCTCCTCCTCCTCCTCCTCCTCCTCCCCTTCCCCTCCCGTAGGCACGACATGTGGTCTCGCAGCATGTATCGTCCTCATGATGTGTATGTCCTCCCTTGTGCGGTCATCAGTAGTAAGCTTGCGAGCCATCTGTCCACCTTAAATAGAATTTTGGAGGTACTGATCAGTCTTATTTCGGTCATCTATCCGTCACTACGTGATAAAGCACGAACTCCTGCGGCTTTTCTAGAATGTGTGCCAGTTCATCAAGCGCTTGCCTCGAGGAAGCAAGTGAGGTCATGACGCACTATCTGCAACCCCGCAAAGCAGTGACGGAAGCAGAACTGCGATAGTATCCTCTCTCTCTCTCTCTCTCTCTCTCTCTCTCTCTCTCTCTCTCTCCCCTCACTATCCACTATGCTTATCGCTGTTTTGGTTCCTTCCCGTTGTTTTGTGCTCTGCTCACAAGTAACCGCTTATTTAGTTAGAAATTAGAACTAGCACCCAGCTCTCGCCTCGAACGACCGAATAAAGAGGGCCGCAGAGAAACAATACGTAGGCAGAGGAGCGTGGCATTCCAAATTCAGCAGCCAACCCGTTTCTGCTATGCACCTTGATCTGTCTGATATATATCATATATATATATGGAGATACTTATACGTAGTCAAAGTGACAAACAAAGTCCTTTTTTTTTTTTTTTTTTTTTTTTTTTTTTTTTTTTTTTTTCTTACCAGCTGGCTGTGAAAGAAGCCACCTGTCTCAGATCGCGGCAGATCCATGGCTAATCCTTCCTTCTGGCCTATAGGTAGTCACCGAACGTTGAGGACCCTTTCGGCACCCCTCGTGATTTCCTTCAGAGACATACAACATCTTCTAAGAACGTATTCAGAATATTTTTAGAAGAGTTATACGTTGTCGGGACAGAACCCCCTGTGAGGGTTTCTGTCCGAGGTTTTTAAGGGCAGACATTGCCCGACCTTTTTTTGGATTGGGAGACTTCACGAGGTTGACCTCGCCAAAAGTTATCCAGACCAACCCTATAACTGAGAAACCTAGAGTCTGACATCGTTGACGTACGACATCGTTGACGTACGACATCGTTGATGTACGACATCATTGACATACGACGTCGTTGACATGCGACGTCATTGACGTGTGACGCCATCGATGTTCGCTCGGAACTGCGGGAATCGGCAGTATGACCTGTCGTCTGCAGGCCCCGACAAGGCCGCAAAGGTGCGCGGTCGTAGAAAGACTAAGGCCAAACTTATCCTACCTAAAAGATGTTAGCCGCGCGATTCAGGGCCTAGGTAGGCAAAAAAAGAGAAGTGTGCCAGGTATGGGACCGCGGCACGGGAGGTGTAGGAAGCTTTTCCTCTGGGCCGCAGGGCTTGACACCGAGCCAGGGGGCTGCTAGGCCAATACTGAGGTCGCCCGGCCACCTGCGCATGCAAGGCCACAAGCAGGCGAGGCTTGCAGGGCCGCAGGCAGACCGGGCCTGTAAGTCTACGGGCAGGCAGAGCCTGCAAGGCCGCGGCACGGGGCTAGCTGGCTGGGCAAGCTCTTCGTATAGAAGAGCTGCTCCTACCACTGTTGTGATAGGAGCTAGCCCAGTAGGTTACAACAGACAACTCTCACCCGGGAGATACCAGGATCGAACCTGACGTGCTGGCCTACTCGGCAAAGCTCCTTTTGGAGCAGCCCAAGGCAAACGGGCGCGGCCGATCTCGATCGTGCGATCATCAAAATCTCGCGGGTGAGATCTGCCGCGCCGAGATTAGCGTGGCCCCTGCGCAAGGATGACACGCATAAATCGAGAAATAGTCCAATTTTTTTTTTTGATCCCATCAGGGATCGAACTTGGATTTGTATTTCAACAGTTCGTGGGGGTACTGTGACCCCGACGTGACCGTTGGTTAGGCCAACGGAGTGCAAAAAAAAAAAAAAAAAACTTAAAACTAAAACTACACTAAGAAGTGAAAGCGCCACGTGGCGCGTAAAGAAGTGCCTGGGGCGTTTTAGCCCCAATGCACTTGACAGCGCCCGACGAAACGGTCGGCCGTTTCTGCAAAAAGGTAAGTTCGTTTTTTTTGTTTGTTTTTCTTTTCTCTTAGATTTTCGTTGTTCTTAGATGTTTTTTCTAGATTTGGTTTAAATCTTCTTTTGTTTTGTTTTATTTTTTTTGAAGACTCTTTAGTTCCTTTTTTTGTCTTATTTGGTTACGATTTTGTTGGGCACCCGTTCGTTTTGACGAACGGGTTGCTGTCGTAGGCAGGCAAAATCGAGTGGATCTGCCGCGATATCGCGGCTACGTT